TCATGAACATGTCAGGACTGAAGGCTTCTCTCCTTTTTTTCATTCAGAAAAGCAACTGAGACACAAACTGGTGCTAACACAGGCCCTGGAGACAGTCTGAAAATAATTCTTGAAATGCCGTGTGTTACTGTGATTTTACATCTGTCACCGGCAGTCTGAATGGCAGTATTTTGTGCAGCAATTTGATGTATAAAAGAGACATACACATGTTCTTCTTCCCATACAAAACAAATCACCCTGAAGTCAGAGAGGTGTTTATTTATTTATTTCTGAGACAGTCTTACTTTGTCGCCCTCGGTAGAGTGCTGTGGTGTCATAGCTCACAGCAACCTCAAACTCCTGGGCTTAAGCAATTCTCTTGTCTCAGCCTCCTGAGTAGCTGGGACTACAGGCACCTGCCACAGTGCCCGGCTATTTATAGAGTTGGGGTCTCACTCTGAGAACCAAGGCTCAGTAAGCCAATGTATGAAAGGTCATAAACAAAATGAAAAGAATGATACTGGGCTTCTGGGATTCCTACCTCCCATTATTAGCCCTTGCCTCCTGAGTAGGTGAGACTACAGGTGCCCGCCACAACCAGGCTGGTCTCGAACTCATGAGCTCAGGCAATCCACCCACCTTAGCCTCCTAGAGTGCTGGCATTACAGGCGTGAGCCACTGCACCCGGTCCAGAGAGATGTTTAATAAAAGTTAAGTTCCACCAGGAATAAGTAAAAATTTAACAGGGAAACACATCTTCATCTTACACTCATGTAATTAATAATTCACTTGATGTTATTTTTCCTTTCATTTCTTTCAGTTAAAGTTCTGCTTATGTGAACTCTTGCTTTCTAAATAGCCCTCAATCAAAGGTTAATCCTTATCACGAGGTTACCAGGTCACGCCAGGCCTTATGTAATTGTTATCATTTGATGTCCATAAGCAACCACGTCACCTGTCTACCAACTATTTTACTTCCCTATTTCTTAGAGGCTGTGGGGCGGTCCTTTTCAAAAACAATCCACTTACACTCTCTATGCCGAATAATCTGAATTCTCTACTTCTTCAGATTCAATAACATTAACAGCTGATTCAGGGTTTATTTTGTTTTCACCTCTTCATTCTCTTCTTATTTCCAAAGAAAATGAACTCCATTCCCACCTTTGTTAGCAAAGTGTCAGTTTGGTCTTGAATGGAAATGTACGACCACTTCTCCTCTAACTTTTAGTGATAAGCAGGGAAAGAAAAAAAAATTAGAAAATGTCTTTCAACTAGTTCTCCATTCACACCTTGGGTTACCAGGTTGGGAACCCAAGCCCTTGAATATATTACTCATTTGGTGTCTGAGTTTCCGTCTTTGGAGAAAGTTTTCCACCGTCCTATACACTAATCCCTTCCAGTCCATTCTGGGCTCATCACCTCCTCCCTGTCTACATTAAGACCCAAGGAGAGCGCATCTCTCCTATGGTTCACAGCCAGAGTGCTGGACACTGTGACAGATAGGAGGAATTCTGGAAGGTAAGCAAATCTGTGACAGGGTAATGCTGGGCTTGGGGGAGATTAAGCTTAAATGGATATTCTCACATCAGGCTGTATTTGATTTTGCTACATTATTTTTCATGCTTTCATGCCCAACCCAATGGTTCTTATGCGTTAGGGAAGAAAGCCTGTTACAACCAACCAGAATGGTGAAACTCATTAATTCAATGAACATTTATTGAGTGCCTGCTATCTGCTAGGTATACTATGGCATTATTTGAATATATAGGAAAGAATTCTAAATAAAGTGCATGGAAACAACTCATCTAAGTTATTCCTTAGGTACCCCAGAGAGGTAAGAAGAGTGGATACTAGTTTATCTCTATCCTTGATTCTGGACTAAGGTTGGCATTAGAAAATTATCTTCTTATGTAGAAGTGAGGCCATTGCTGCTGGCTTTTCTTTGGATTCTCTGAGTCTCTATTTTCTCTCTCTGAGAGTCCCTCCAGGAAATGGCTTTTAAAAAATGACCATCATTTACATTTCACCTGCTATTACAGTAAACTCTTCCATGAAGCATCGTGTGGACCTGAGCAAAACTGCCTCTGGTGCTCCTTTTGCCTGGAATGCCCCCCATAACTGGACTTGTCCAGCTCAATTGTCAGTGCCCCCAGTTATGTTTCTTTTGCCCTCTTCCCACTTTCCCACAGCAATTTGTAGCTCTCCAAGCATACTTAGCACATTCTGTTGGGCTTCATAATCATTTGTGTATGTAGTTTAATTCTTTTACTGGACTGTAAAATCCTTGAACTAATTCATCTTCCTATTCCTCCATCCCATCATGGCAACTAGCTTGTATCTTGATGGGATTCCTAAGCTCAAAAGTTTGTATGGCAAGAGTTATCCTTGGTCCCAGTGCTGGTTTTATAGTGAAGTTTTCCTGTTTTAGAGTTTTCAATGGTGCAATATCTTTGAAAGACATTGAAAGCATTTTCCTTTATCACACTGTTTAAAGAAGGTCCAATTTTATTCTTTCGTACCCTTGCAAAACCAGGTCAAAGGTAACTTGGAACATTTTGCCCTTTATCCAGATATTCTCTGGGTCTCAGGCTTGTAATAGAGAGTATCTTCAACTGTTACTAAAGCCACGTACAAGAGTATTACCTACACCGTGGGAACTGGGCATGATTATGTTGAGCCACGCTGTGTAGACCTGACCAGTACGCTAATGAAGGGGCCCTCAGAGACCTGGGTTATCTTTCCAGTAGAAGAGCTACTTTAACAATGATCTTAATGCGAGTATAAATGGAACCAGAGCAAATGTACTATTTACGGTGTCTTTGGATTTTTTTTATGAAATATTTCCTGTGTTGTGTGAAATTAAACATGCTTTCCTGCTTTACCCATATTCTGTGTTTGGGAAGTTGTGTGAAAAACCATTGGCCCAGCCAGACAGCTTTAATCAACTACAACACAGATATAAGTTCGTATGGTCAAAGACAATTTTTCCATGTGATTACTTGCACCCAGCCATGGAAAATGTCCAACAAACCATATGTTCTGGGAGACAGCACTTTTGTTTGACTCAGGGATGTGGTTGTGAGTCTCAACTTTCTGTAAATATAGTAAATTCAGAAGGAATACTTGGAAAAATTTGTGATAGGACTAAGCCCTGGCAAGCTTTACAAAGAGTCCCCCCAAATCATGACAACTCGATCAGTCCTCATGATAAAAGCCACTGTGCTGGTTCTTTACGTATACTCTAGAATTTGACAGACAGTTGGAGCTCAGGAGTGCTTGCTAGCCCACAAACACTGCAACTGAAATTTAAAGTACAGAATCAAACTCACCTTTATGTACCATGTTCATAAAGGGTGACAGAATAAAAAGTGCCCCACAAGTGAGAAAAAAATCTGGGGTTATCTCTACTTTTCTGTTAACTAACTACCTGTTGTAAGACTCTGGGCAATTAATTCATATTATCCCATTTTTTTAAAAGTATAACACATTCGTTAAAGTTAGAGGATTATAGGATACCTAAGATCACTTCCAACCCTAAAGAATTCCATGAGTCAGTCAATTCCACACATTTCCACATGGGTATATTTAGTACACATGCAACTTTGGACTCTGCGTAGAACAGAGTGTAATTCTGTTTCATGTACAAAGGTATCTGTGATTTGGAAAAACTAAATGTTTTCCATTCAGAGGTCTCAGAGGTCAGTTCACTGTCTGGAGAGTAACATAGGTCCACTGGAAGTCTAGTTTGAGTTTGATTTGAATGTAGGAATTTCATTATACTATCCACATAAACACAGTGCCCTATAGCAGAGGATTGTTGCCTGATTTTATTACAAAGTCAAACTCTAGTATAGTCATTTAATTCTGAGCTTCTTTGTGAATAAAACTCCAAGCCTTGTGACCTCTTTTCTGGGAGGCTTGGGATACTGAAGAGGTAAACAGAATTTAAATGCTTCCCGATGTGGTACAAAGATCGCCATGTTAATAATTTCCATCTAAGTAAGCTGGTAAAGTAATAGGTTTAAGAGAGTCTCCCAGTTACTAAGTGATGGAGTTGTCTATTTCCCCAGGCAACTGGAAATTGTTAAAAAATTTCTTTAAAAGATTATCTCCAAAGAACTTCGCTGCCTTTAAACTTGTCTTAAGATCTGCTTTTAAACTTTCATACAAAGCCTACTTTTTTTCGACATTTATTTTATGCCATATGAAACAGGCGTGTAAACTGCTTGGTTTCTCACAAATGAACGGATATTTCATCTTTCTGTAACACTAAGCAGCCAGTTTAGCTTGTCTCAGTTTCCCCAGCTATGAAATGAAGGGGTAGAGCAGTGCATGAATAGTACTGAAAGGGTCAGTGTTGATACGGATGCCATGGGGGCACACACGGGCTCTGCAGCAGGTCCCCAAAGTTTTCTCTCTGGGGATCAGGTGGGGTCACCTCCTGCAGTGAGAAACCAGAGAAACTAATAGCACTTGAGAGCTGGAAGCAATATCGAGGACTGCCACCTTACAGAGGAACAAACCCAGGGACAGAGAGGGGACGTGACCTTTCCATGATCACTGGGCCAATCGAACAGCAGAGGCGAGAACAGTCCCGCTGGATCCATTAGAGTTTACACTCAAGGCCCTCTGCATTCTAACGCAAATATTTTAAGCCTCAGTTAAAAGCTTGGACTTTAGAGGTAGAGAACTCTGGCTATCCAGCAGCTCTGAGAACTGGGCATGAAGCTGCACCTCTCCAGGCCTCAGTGGTCTAATTTATACAAGTCCGAAAATAAACTCCACCAATTGTGAGGATTACAAGCACCGCTGTGCATATATTGCTTAACACAGAACCCGGCACGTAATCATTTTCCACAACATGTAGTTCTAAATGATCAAAACTTAGCGCGTCAAGGAAACGTTGCCAACCCCTCCTGCTACACCTCCTGTTCGCAGCGGACCCCTGCCCCCAGGCTAAGGCTGGCTGTCAATGGGAGAAGCAGCCCCAGTGCCAGGGTGACCCAGTCCGGGGGGCTCACCTGGAGAGGCCAGCAGCACCTTCGCGCCGGAGCACTGGAAGCAGTGCAACAGGGACTTTGCGCGGATGTTGTAATTGAGGCACGCCATGGCACAGCCCAGCTTGGCCAGCCCCAGCCACAGCCACACGTAGGCCGGCTCATTACCCATAAAGATCGCCACGCAGTCTCCCTGGCGCAGGCCGAGGTGGTCGTGCAGCGCCCGGGCCACCTGGTTGCTGCGTCGGTCCGCCTGAGCGTAGGTGAGCGTCTCATCGCCGAAGAGCAGGAAAGGCTTGTGCGGAGTCTGGCGCGCTTTCTCTAGAAAGGCCCCCACGACGGTGAGCACCGGCCGCCGCCGACCGTTGCTGCGCACCCGCCGGGCCACGCTGGCCACCTTCAGGAAGTAGCTTATGTCCTGGAAGAAGTAGGGGCAGCAGAGGTTCACCAGAAGCGGCAGGAGCAGCACCCCCGCCAGGACGGTGTAGATGACCGGCAGCATGACGGTGGCGGGTCCCTCTGTCCCAGCGAGGGCAGAGGGCGCGCTTCGGGCGTGCAGCGCGGCGGCGGGGCGGGCTCCGGGCGGACGGCTGGCGGGCTGCGCCGGGGCGCACGGCTGCGGGCGCACGGCTGCGGGACGCTGGGTTCGCAGCAAAGCTGGGAGTCAGCGAAGCGCCTCAATGCTAGCACCGCCGCGGGCTCTCCGGCAGGTGCAGTGGTGTGTGGCTGCCGCGGGTTCCGGGCGGGACCGTCCGGCTGAGCCCGCCCCCTCGCGGGGCGCTGCCACCTGCGCTCCCAGCCCGCCCCCGCGGTCCTCCCCCGGCTGGCCAGGCGGCTCTGCAGCTCGCTGGGTAGTCTCGGGTACCGCTCTGCCCAAGCGCTGAGGTCTGGTGTCAAGTCTGGACTCCCTTGCGTTGTGATCGAAGTCTTTACCTCTCGGAGCCGCAGTTTCCTTAAATGGTGACGATAAGACGCACTTAGCGGATGTTGAGATGATTAGAGGAGCTAATGCTGGCGTGGAGCTATTATTTGTTGTTACCACTGGTAGAGTGGCTTAGGGAAATCGCTTATTGTTATCGATAAAGTGCCTTACACACGTGAGTCAGTCCTATTACTTATTCATAGCGGGTACCAGGTGCCACTGCCGAAGTAGAATCCCATCTCGCCTTCCTGGTCCCAAAGGCTTTCCGCCTAGTCTCTCTTTGTTTCTCAGATTTGCTTCCCCGCCCAACCCCAGCTTTGCTGCCCGGCGGCCTCCTGTGGCAAAGGCTTCCAGGTTGAATGAAAGCACCAGCGACGGTCACGTCCAGCTCATCCTAGCCGTTGCTGGGTGGGTGAGGGTAGGACTCTCTGGTCTAGTCGGCCCCGCCCAGCCTGGTAAGCCCTGATTTCGCGAGAAGTACTGCCACACATCACCACGTGAAATCCAGCTCCGGCGTTATTGTAATTTAATATTTTGTTCTGTTAAGTGATTCCCTTTACCCCAGGTTGAAAGTTTGCTAGTATTGTCAGCACAATTCCGCCCGAATTTGTAATACTAAGTGACTCTGTCGGAGAGTAGTACGACACAGTGCAAATTAAGTACATGTTATTGGCATTTCTCAAAAGTCATATTTTTTTCTAGAGGAAATATGATCCTTTCTTTTAATTTCCTTAGCGCTCCTTCTGTACAAAGTGAGTACTCACTACTTGCCACTGAGGAGGGTCAGGATAAAACAGTGATTTAATTTCATGCTGTCCTGTCCTCCTGTGCTCGTCTATCCTATTCTTATAGTCACAAATAAGGAAGGCTCACCTCTTCCAGATACTCTTTTCTAGGGGTGTCCCTGTGTTATATTTTGGGGGCTTCAGTTGTTCTACAAAGGTGGCACTTTCACTCTCATTTATAGATAAGAAAGGGAAGCTTCGGCGAACTGAGACAGCTAGTAAGTAATGCGTTTACTTTGGAGCTGGTATCTGGTTCCGGGGAGCAGCTTTCTTAACATGCTTAGCAAGTATGTTACGCTGCCCTCCTGTTCCCTAAGTTTCTGTACATGTCCTTTTTTTCTCCCACAATTTAAGAAAACTCACAATCTCCCTTCCCATTATTTACTCCCTTCTTTTTATCCCTGGTAATTGCTGAAGCAACCCTCTCCCTTTTCCTGACTTTCTCATTGCTGATCCTACTACCACCAGGGACTAGTTGCATCATTTCCCTGGGGCTGAGTTGGGGGCCTCTATCATCCCTAAGGAAAAGGCAGCAGTGTTGACCAAAGTAGGGGGCGCTGCAGAAACCATTCTGGTGAGCACTTCTTTCATGCTGAAGCTCAGCCAACCCTTCCTTTGCCATCCCAAGGCCACCCTCGTCTCTTGATGGCTGATGGCTTCAGTGTAGCCTCCTAGACACCTCTTCCCACTCCCCCAGAGTGCTAGGTTCCCACAAAGGCCCACTTTCTTCTCTCTTATTCTGAGGGTCACTTTAACTTGTGCATCAGCAATCTTTCTGCTGCAAATAGAAGACAAGCCGCAAACTAGCTTATGCAGAAACAGGAATCTAAGCAGTAACCAGGGATTCCAACAATGACAATTCATGTGAGCCTCCATCTATGACTTAAATATAGGGATCTGGACCTCATTTCTCTTTCGCTATTTCTCCTTTCTACCCCTTCTGTTCTTATTCAGGCTCTCTGCTCATGGTCCAAAGATGGCTGCTAGCAGTAACTACAAGTATATGCTTACTGGGCCAATTTCAGAGAGAAATAGAAGAATCTTTTTCATAGGAGTTCTTACTTAAAAAAAAAAAAATCCCTGACTGGATTATGTGCCCAGTCCTGAACCAATCTCTGTGGAGCCTGAGGAAGAAAAATGCTGATTGGTTTAAGCTACTCAGGGCTCACCCATGGGACTGGGAGTATAGTCAATTCTACCTAGACCATTTTGTGAAAATTTTCAGCATATTTTTCAGCATAAAACAGGATTGGAGGAGAGGGCAGGGGAGAAGAAATACATTTGGGGAGGAAAAAACTAGCAAATGTCTATAGTATATACCTTGGAACTCTTTGCGCTAATGATTTTAGCTTTGAGACTAGGATCTACCTTTTGCTGTACCACCAGGTTAATAGTTGTCTTGGTCTGTTTAGGTGGTTATAACAAAATACCGTGAACTGGGTAGCTTATAAATAATGGAAATTTATTTCTCTCAGTTCTGGAGGCTGGGAAGACCAAGATCAAGGTGTTGGCAGATATGATATATGGTGAAGACCTACTTTCTCATCTGGTATCCTCTACTGTGTCATATGGTAGAAGGGGCAAATAACTTTCCTGTGGCCTGTTTTATAAGGGCACTAATCCTATTCATGAGGGGCCCATCCTATGATCTAATCGCCTCCCCAAAGGCCCCTAACCTCCTCATTCTGTGACCTTGGGAGTTAGAGTTTCAACATATGGATTTTGGAATTTTGGGAGGACATGAACATTTAAACCATAACAATAGTCTTCCTGGAAATATTGCCAACATTCTATAGCTCCATTGCTCAGTTATCTTTAGTGATTCCCCCTTGCTTTTCATCTTCTTCCACCTATGGCACCTAAGATAATTGTTATATTTGTACAACTACTACACAGTGTCCCAAAAGTCACCCCCAAGGTCAGTCACCATACCTAGGGAAACTGGGAAATTGTAGCTAAATGTACCTTTATTTATAAAATACATATTATAAAATATTACAAAGAGGTGGCCAACATGTAGAGAATATTTTGTAAATTTTAGTAAAATTTTGTCATGAATTTTTATAAATAATAATGTAATAATAATTATAATAATTTTATAAATAAAGGTATGTTACAAAACTTTACAAAATATTTATTTATTTTTTTGAGACAGAGTCTCACTCTGTTGCCTTTAGCGGAGTGCCGTGGCATCACAGCTCACAGGAACCTCAACCTCTTGGGGTCAAGCAGTTCTCTTGCCTCAGCTTCCTGGCTAGTTGGCACCACCACAACACCTGGCTATTTTTAGAGATGAAGTCTTGCTTTGGCTCAGGCTGGTCTCGAACTTGTGAGCTCAAGCAGTCCACCGGCCTTGACTTTCCAGAGTGTGAAGATTATAGGCATGAGCTACTGTGCCTGGCCTTACTTTATAAAACATTTAAAAAATATTCGCTACATGTTGGCCACCTCTTTGTAATACTTTATGATGAATGTTTTATAAATAAAATTTTGCCCCATTTTCCTTATGCATGGCTACCTTAGGGGCTGCTTTGGGGATTCCCTTCTAGGCTATATTTGGCCTAGAGCTAACCAGGTGCTTTTGTTCTTGTGTGGCTCCCTTGAAGGACGATCAGTAGCTTAGCATATTGCCTGCCCATTCTTGGCACATTTGTTGGGAAGTTCTGATCTAGAAAATATTTAAAATTCAGACTTTATTTTCTGGCTATTTTGAATCTGACTCAAACTTTTATTTTATTTTATTTATTTTTTTGAGACAGTCTCACTCTGTCACCCTGGGTAGAGTGCTGTGGCATCATCACAGCTCACAACAACCTTAAACTCTTGGCTAAAGTGGTTCTCTTGCCTCAGCCTCCCAAGTAGCCGGGACCACAGTCAACTGCCACAATGCCCGGCTATTTTTTAGAGACAGAGATTTGCTCTTGTTCTGGCTGGTCTCGAATTTGTGAGCTCAGGTAATCCACCTGCCTTGGCCTCCCAGAGTGCCTGACACAAACTTTTACTACGTTCAATTAACAAATATTCATTAAGTTTCTATTAAAAACAGAATATCATCAAGCATTACATATTTAAAAACAAACCCAAATGCAACACGGTGTGTGTTGTCTGGTCTACCCACTCCTACACATACCCCACACATTCCTCTTTCTACAGGCTTGTTCTTGCCACTCTCCACCCCTAAACTCTCTACCTGTCTGAATCTCAACTCTCTTTTAAGGCAGTGGTTCTTGATTCCCAGATTTCTCAGTCTAGTAGTATTTCAAAACAAAGTTAGGGACTCAAAAATGTACGAACTTTTAAATTTTTTAAGTAAAAATAATCCCTGTGACTGTACTTTTTTATATTAATAAGAATGCAATTTTTGAAAAAAAAAGAATGACAGTTTTGGCACTAAAAAATACATTTTAACTGTACACTTAAAAATGGTTGAAATGCTTAAATTTTATGCTGTGTATATTTTACCATAATCAAGAAAGCCCAAAAGTATAAACCTTTTCAAGAAAGGATGAAGACAATGGAAATTAGATATAAAAAGATGGAAATTAGACTAGTTTTAAATGTAGAAAAAAATGCTTTATTTGGTTTATTACATCATATGGAAATTGTTTTTATTATAAGTTTGTCCATTCAGAAAATTAAATTCAACAGTGAAGTATGAAATAGGCTGAGTTTTGAGCTTTGTTCTAATCTAGGATTGTATCAGCATTGAGATCTCAAACATGGAAATTCTTTATCCCCATATTCTTGGTGAAGCCTCCTAACCCCCATCTCTCCCATTCTCCCAAATCCACTGAGCCAGCTCATCAAGATTTTAGTTCCGTTTGGAATACTATGCAGCCCTAAAGAAAGATGGAGACTTTACCTCCTTCATGTTTACATGGATAGAGCTGGAAAATGTTCTTCTTAGGAAAATATCTCAAGAATGGAAGAAAAAGCATCCAATGTACACAACCCTATTTTGAAACTAATTTATAGCTTTCATAGGAATGTTATAACCTAATTATAGCCTTAGAATATGGGGAGGTGGAG